TGTTTTTCGAACAACGTAATCATGACAAAACAAGTTAAATGTATAACAAAGGAGTTGTTATTGCAATATCCAGGCAGTCACGACAATATATACACATTTTAACATGTAATAAATAATGAGCAATCTTTAATATTAATTGTAACAATGTTACGTTAGAAAAATATACGCCCCTGAGCATAAGACAATGAAGGCTAAACATATATAGAATTATTATCATGAAACGTCTATAATCATCACAATCATAAGATTACATAGAACAATTAACAACAAAGTACTTAAAGAATATTACCTGCTAATTAATACGGGTTAAACAATTTGATTTTTCACTATTTTGCAACACTGCCCGCTGATCGTCTTACTCCCATCTCCACACTGTTCTCACTTCAACTATTTAGGCTTCCTTCCGGAATTCCCCACCTATAAGCGCTTGTTTTGCGCTTCCTTCTACCAACTGTCAATATTACGTTTTCATTATTATACAACACCCACGTAACAGGTGACGTCGAGGTTGATACGATAAGTATGGTTTTGCACAATACAAAGCAGCAAGTTGAAAGGTTCAGTAAATAAAGCGTATAAAAATGGAATTGTTTGTGTAAATGCATGAATTGTGGATTTTAAAGTTATATGTGGTACAGTATAATAATCGATTATTTATAACTTTTTATATTAATGCTTTTCAAATGACCACCCACTTCCATACCAATATAAAAAAAGATAATAAAATTAATTATTGTCTTAAGTTGAAGTTCTTAATTTTGCATGATAATTAATCTACTTAATTTAGCAAAAATTATGTAGGTTAACCTGTTGATGTGTAAAAGGCACCAGAAAGAATAATTTTACTTTCTGTAACTTTATTTTGATGTAAAAGCAAATTTCTCGTATTTTTAACAGACATTAGCGGTAAAGTGAATGTGGCTTTTCATCACATTTACTTGGTTGCGAAAGCTTGCCAGATGAAACTGTCGCAGAAAGTTGTAATATGTGGAATAAAAAAAGCTCTGTATTTATCTTTCATTCACATAAAATCTTGTTAAAACATTTTAATGCGTTTTATTTTACAGGACTATCGCGACAATAAATATTTTAATGTTTTATATATTTGAACACCACCGCAATAGAGTTGAAATTTAATAAAATAAAAATTACTGAAGCCGTAACATTTTAATGGTGTAAAGTACAAAGCCTTCATAAATGATTACAAGCCACGTGACCAGTAATTTTATTTCCTTCACGTTGACAATTAAATTTCGACAAAAACAGTAAGATCAATATTACAATAAAATGCAACATCCTGTTTTACCGACTGTGATTGGTGTAATTTTTCACGAGATTCTATTCAACCAATAAGCGATCGTATTATCTCGAAGGTAGTTGTAAAGGTTTGTCATTGTTCGTTGTAAACGAATAATTAATATGGATGATACTAAGATTTAGGGATTTTTTTTTGTTGACAGTACCAGCCCTGCAATGTTGGGTTGTCTAAGCTCAGCGGTCACGTAGCTTGTAAACATTTATGAAGGCAGGGTTTATATTATGATATCTTATATTGTAACGAAATGTTGTCAATTAAAATCTATTTTCTTTAAAATTTATGTTTCCACTAGCGTCCCCATAATTAAAATTAGAGCTGCTAGTGACATTACTTATAAAGAAACAAATGAAACACCTTCAGAATTAGAAAAGTGCCCGATTAATTTTAAAGACGATAAAAAGGTATACTAAATAGGACAATTTAATAGTGTTTAATTAAAAATTTTGAAGAGGTTATTTGAAACTTGTAAAATTGGCATATCTATTGAATACTGAAACTTTTAGAAAATAAATAACTTGACGATGCCACAACCGAATGTAAAACTATTTGCATGGGCAAAATTTTATAGAGAAATCACATATGTAAAAATATATACGACGTTTCTTTTATAAAAACTAAATTCTCGAACGCCACGCTATTATTTCACCATTCTGTATATTTAAATGTAATTTTAACACAGTATTTTTTATTCCTTCCAACTTTTATTTGAACAATTTACTTTTGTATCTCGAATAAAAATCGTAGAAACATAAATGAGTAGTAACTTCATCAACAATATTTACTAGTGGCGATTTTTTTTAAGTCTTACATCATGAATTAGGATAAAGAACTATTCTGAATTTAAAATTCATCAGAATAGGAGCTCCTGAATTTTTTTGTTGACATATATTGCTTTTGCAGGAATCTCAATTTTCATACCTTATCAATTAATGCCGTTACAGTTTTTATGAACCTTTAATTCTGCGTTTACTGATGTATCGCTGCGGAAGTTTAATTACATTTTAGTTTTTTTAATGTCAAATATTTAGTGTTACCTATTAGCATAGCATACTGTAAAATTAATAAAAATGTATAATTGAACGCCAAATTGAATTTATGTACCATTAAATTTGAATTTTGAGAGTGTATATGTTAAGTGAAGAGATTTTATTAAAAGCCAAAAGATGTTAGTTTTATGATTTTTTCAATTTTATGGTAGTAGCTACCAAATAGCAAACGAAATTTTGACATTTCTGTTTAAAAGTAAATAAACTATTATTGTTGTCTCCAATAGCTTGAAAATATGAAACTTTCTTGCCATTTAACCAACACCTCTCCTCTATCCTATCCTCTAGTTCAGGAGATACTAATGGTACACACCTTAAAAGTGACTACTCTCTATATGTATATACATATGTATATTTGAATTTATTTGAATTAGCTTAATATGTGTAAAATAAATTATTTAATTACCTTATTTTACCTAATCATTCCTCAGTCTACCTACCAATTAAATTTGTAAAAAATGGCTTACTGACCTTCGTTTAACTCTATAGATTTCGCCTTTTTTTTAAATATGATTAGAAAGTAGAATTTGTTTAATCACCCTATATCAGATTCGATTTACGTATTGGGAAAAACGTTCTGTCTGAATCGCTTGTGCAGTAAAGTTCATGTATAACGTAAATCGAGCCTGCCCCGAAATCTCACTTAATATCATCCAGCCACCCGAATTGCGGCTAAACGACAGCGAATCTGGTGGCGGTATTTGCTTACTTGTAACTCTGAGCTCCACAACAATGCTTGTCGGGGGATGGGTAGACATTTGGCACTCGTAGAGGCCGGCATCCGAGGGCTGAACCTTCTTGATAAGAAGGCCCCAATTCTGTAGGTGTCGAACATGCTCCACCATGAAGCGATCGTCGGTATTGTAGGTCGCCAAGCCCACTGTCAACAGATGATAATCGTGTTTCCTTACCCACGAAACCTGAGGACAATAGGAGAACGACCTTAATTATCGTGTTCCTTACCAAACCTTTAAGTAGGAAGGGTGCACAGTAAATAATCTTAATTAGGTGAATAAGGCAACTTAATCTTTAATATTTCCTTTCGCTTATTAAAAGAATATAAAATGAGGGTTTTCAGAAATAAAATAATTGCTTCTAAATAAATAAAAAACGTAAATTGCATCATTAGTTGTTGAGTTGTCATAAAATATTTGTCCATATTTTTAATTATGCGGAATATAGGTACTGCTAATGTTAACAAAATTAATTGTCTTTATTAAAGACTTTGATTTGATTTTCAAGCTGCATGTTTGAATTTAGAATCAAGTGAAGTTCAAAATAATTAATAAAGAGTGTCCCAAAATTCACGAAAGAAGTAATTTTTACAGAAAAAACAGGGAAAGTATACAGTAAAGGGTTATTATTACGACGTAAACTACGATTTCCCGTGAATTGCATTGAAATATGTGAATAATTAACGATTCACGAACCCTTTAAAGAGAAGGTACTTGCTAAGTAAAATATCTCGGCTTCTATTCATCGTAGAAACTTCTTTTCTTTTAACTGGGGTAGCTCGTTTCTCTTTTATTTTCGCTTATTTTCCTGGTGTAAACCCTAAACGGAAGACAGGAGGTACCTTCGTGCCTCGATTTACATTTTCCAGAATATTGGATTGGAAAAAATGGACCTATTATATGGCCTGTCAGGTTCCCTGCTCTCAACGAGCTTGATTTTTTTACTGGGGTAATATGAAGCAACTGGTGTATATTAAACCCAGTAAATTTACTTCAAAAAATTAATGGAGCCGCCGAGCAAATTCAAGCAACCGTTGATTTACGAAGGGTTTACAATTCCTTGGTCAAATGATGTCGGACATGCATTGAAGTAAATGGGCAGAATTTCAAGTATTTATTTAAATAATTGTTTTCTATTTTTATTTTTAATATTGTCATCTTGCTAAAATAATTTCGTTTTTGTTACACAACTTTAATTTTTATTAAAAAAAAAATACATACAAAACTTGTTTAGTTTCTTCATATTCATTAAGCCGCAGCTACATGAGAAACTGTACCTCAACATTAAACAACTTTGTTTTTTATAATGACAGGTACCTACTAGATAACAAGAAATAAAATTTTTACATGCATTTTTCTACAAACGCAGTCGATATTTTGCTCAAAAACGGTTCATTTTTGAGCTATGAAATAAGGGCGCATTATTTGTTCAGAATCGATTGCAGATTCAGGAAAACGTAATCAAATTACATAAAACTAGGATATGCAAAAGTTATGAAGACATAACCTTGGGAACAAGTTGGCTTAGGCCGCTTCTGGCGTCAGATCGAAATAAGCGCCATAAAGTCTTCTTCTTTAATAGATGTACACTTCATCCAAAAATTACATAAATCCCTGAAAGGGTTTTTGTGTTATTGCGGAAAGTTATTATTTTTTTCTAAACAACACCCTGTAACTCAGTAAGAGTGCATCACAGAATAATATTTNTAGAAAGTAGAATTTGTTTAATCACCCTATATCAGATTCGATTTACGTATTGGGAAAAACGTTCTGTCTGAATCGCTTGTGCAGTAAAGTTCATGTATAACGTAAATCGAGCCTGCCCCGAAATCTCACTTAATATCATCCAGCCACCCGAATTGCGGCTAAACGACAGCGAATCTGGTGGCGGTATTTGCTTACTTGTAACTCTGAGCTCCACAACAATGCTTGTCGGGGGATGGGTAGACATTTGGCACTCGTAGAGGCCGGCATCCGAGGGCTGAACCTTCTTGATAAGAAGGCCCCAATTCTGTAGGTGTCGAACATGCTCCACCATGAAGCGATCGTCGGTATTGTAGGTCGCCAAGCCCACTGTCAACAGATGATAATCGTGTTTCCTTACCCACGAAACCTGAGGACAATAGGAGAACGACCTTAATTATCGTGTTCCTTACCAAACCTTTAAGTAGGAAGGGTGCACAGTAAATAATCTTAATTAGGTGAATAAGGCAACTTAATCTTTAATATTTCCTTTCGCTTATTAAAAGAATATAAAATGAGGGTTTTCAGAAATAAAATAATTGCTTCTAAATAAATAAAAAACGTAAATTGCATCATTAGTTGTTGAGTTGTCATAAAATATTTGTCCATATTTTTAATTATGCGGAATATAGGTACTGCTAATGTTAACAAAATTAATTGTCTTTATTAAAGACTTTGATTTGATTTTCAAGCTGCATGTTTGAATTTAGAATCAAGTGAAGTTCAAAATAATTAATAAAGAGTGTCCCAAAATTCACGAAAGAAGTAATTTTTACAGAAAAAACAGGGAAAGTATACAGTAAAGGGTTATTATTACGACGTAAACTACGATTTCCCGTGAATTGCATTGAAATATGTGAATAATTAACGATTCACGAACCCTTTAAAGAGAAGGTACTTGCTAAGTAAAATATCTCGGCTTCTATTCATCGTAGAAACTTCTTTTCTTTTAACTGGGGTAGCTCGTTTCTCTTTTATTTTCGCTTATTTTCCTGGTGTAAACCCTAAACGGAAGACAGGAGGTACCTTCGTGCCTCGATTTACATTTTCCAGAATATTGGATTGGAAAAAATGGACCTATTATATGGCCTGTCAGGTTCCCTGATCTCAACGAGCTTGATTTTTTACTGGGGTAATATGAAGCAACTGGTGTATATTAAACCCAGTAAATTTACTTCAAAAAATTAATGGAGCCGCCGAGCAAATTCAAGCAACCGTTGATTTACGAAGGGTTTACAATTCCCTGGTCAAATGATGTCGGGCATGCATTGAAGGAAATGGGCAGCATTTCAAGTTTTTATTTAAATAATTGTTTTCTATTTTTATTTTTAATATTGTCATCTTGCTAACATAATTTCGTTTCTGTTACATAATTTTCATTTTTTATAAAAAAAAATTAATACAAAACTTGTTTAGTTTCTTCATATTCACTAAGCTACATGAGAAACTGTACCTCAACAGTAAACAACTTTGTTTTTTATAATGACAGGTACCTACTAGATAACAAGAAATAAAATTTTTACATGCATTTTTCTACAAATGCAGTCGATATTTTGAACCCAATTTGCTCAAAAACAGTTCATTTTTGAGCTATGAAATAAGGGTGCATTATTTGTTCAGAATCGATTACAGATTCAGGAAAACGTAATCAAATTACATAAAACTAGGATATGCAAAAGTTATGAAGACATAACCTTGAGAACAAGTTGGCTTAGGCCGCTTCTGGCGTCAGATCGAAATAAGCGCCATAAAGTTTTAATGATCTTTAATAGCTGTACACTTCATCCAAAAATTACATAAATTCCTGAAAGGTTTTTTGAGTTATTGCGGAAAGTTATTATTTTTTTCTAAACAACACCCTGTAACTCAGTAAGAGTGCATCACAGAATAATATTTTATAAGAATTTTAACCTTATTTTGGTCTGGTCTACACCCTGGTAAATTTTGTACACTGACACTGGGACATCCTGTATACAGTTCACATAAATAATTTGGAGAACATACAGAGGAAATTTTATAAAGAATTCGTATAACCCCCCCCCCCCATTAATTTCCCTCAGAATCTTCTATTAAATCATTTTGGCGTGAATTCTTTAGAGTCTAGAAAATCAATGTACTCGATCATTTTCTTGCATAAGATAATCCAAAACATCTTTGACTGCCCTCATATATTAGGTTATTTAACTTTAATGTGCCTAGGTTAACTTCGCGTTGTCCTGTATCCTTCCGTTTGTAGGCAAACGGCAAACGAAAGCTAGGGCTTTCGCACAAATCTCTTAAAAGCTTCCCCATTGTTTGAGGCATGTTCAAGCTATACAAAAATTGCACATCTTGTAGATGTTTTTAATTGTACCATACATGAAATTAAAGAAAACATACTATATTTTGAGCATGATCTAAATGAATTGAATATAAATGTGTTATTCATAGATTGTTTGTATATTACTCATAACTTTATGTACTTTTTCTGTCTTCTCCATATTACTTGTCACATGTTTGTCTTATTTATTAATTATATAGGTTTTAACCCTCTTTTTTTCTGTATTTCTCTATATTGTAATTATTCTTTGTACTTCCATTCCGTAATTGAAATTTCGTTTCTGTGGAATTGTGTATCTAAAATAAAGCAGCATATTTTGGACGAAAATTGCCATCTGTAGCTGCCAAATCTTCATTATTGTTAAAATATCGCTCAACAATGAAAACGCGTTGAAATTTTGGAATATCCAATAGTATTCAAATATCAAGACAAGTCATGTAGTCGTATAGAAGGTACTTGAGAAATCGAATAGTTCTTAATTTTTATAATACATCTGTTAAGAAATAGAATCGGACTTAAGGAAAGATTTATATTTAAAAAATTACATCTTAAATTCTAATCTTAATATTATTAAAACATTACATTATATAAACACTGAGGGTAACTTGTAAGTTGATGTATTGTTTTCAAATATATTTAAATGACAATTTTAGAAAAACAATCATTTCATATTTAAAGCATACTCCCCTATATTTCTCAGATTGCTCGAGTGAATCCAAACTCTTAGTCATACGTATTTTCGTTAAAGATTGGGTCAGGTTACGCAGGAATTTTTAAAAAAACCTCATCTCAAGTGAAGTAGTTTCTAGATACATCAAGTGATGTGATTTGATTAATCCCTAGTGTGTACACGCTAAAGGGTAATCGTGACCTTATTTGCTAAGGGCGATTCAGTTATAACAATGCTTGTCCTGAAAGAAAAAAAATATATTATTCCTATAATCAATAGAGCCTTTATTAAGACATACTGGTATAATCATTAATGCAGTCAATAATTTTTTTCCAGTATAATGACATATCATTAAATAGGCGCACATATTCGTTAATAAGGAAGATAGTAGGTTATTAAATATCTCTGTATAATAATTTATCATCCACCGTAGTAGCCTAGCGATCAGTATATCAAATATAAACTGACTGACGTTAACACATCTATTAAAATCATTTAAAATGTATCTATACATTTTCAAGATAATAAGATATATTATAAAAATGGAAAAAGTAATATGTTTAGTTTATTAATAATATCTTCGGTTCAGGGGAAATTCGTCATTTAAACTTAAATCGGATCTTTTAACAAAGACTTCAGTTATTTCACCTCTCTTCTTTAATTTCTATCCCAACATTATTGTTATTAATTTTTTTAATCTTCAACCACAAAACAAAGTTAACAAAACAGTAGTTTTATTTTCCTCTATATTTTAAAATGTGTCCTCTGCTTTTGACGATTCTTTGTTTGAACTTCTCATTTTCTTCTTGCAATAATTCCGATTTTCGTTATTTGGAACTTTAAATCGAGTAGAATTTAATATACAGGGTGTAAGTAAATAACTGCGAAAAAAATAAGAACATGATTCTTTGTTGAGGGGAGGGGCTTTCATTTAAAAAATATCTACTCCTCTCCTTTTTGCTATTTAGTTTTTATTATTTTCCTTAAATATGGTGAGTTCTACAAACACAAAATTACGTGTACTTCTACAATCGAGCATTTATTTACTGGATAATTTATTGATCTTCCCCTTTGGTTAGAAGAAGCAGAAGTAACAGCCACTACAAATAATAACTTTTCTCTATTGCCAATATGATTGTGCATGTATTTAAAAATGTGCTTTAGGTGGCTTGATTTATTTGAAAAGTTTTATTTTGTTATATCTTTTGAAGGAAACAGTTTTAAGTAAAGTAAAACAAATTAAGCCATAGCGCACACAGAATTTTACTCAATAGCAGAACTTTTATTATGAAAAAAATACATTAAAGTTAAAGAAAAAGACGCCCTAATTATAAATGGAAAATCATAAAAGGAACTGAGTATCTCCCACCATTACACAAAACTCCGAGTGTCGAAATATTGATCCACGCATCCGGTTAAAAATCCATAGAGAATTTTAAATTACTGCATCTAATCAACATGGTTTCTTAATTCTTGAATATCTTTCACATATGTTTTGTACATCGGTTTTCAAATTATCCAATATACAAAACTTTGTAGAATTTAAATTGGGTGTACCAAGAGAAAAAACTATGGTCTGTCATGATATTTATGCTTCGTTTAAATATTGTCTTACATAAACATGAGTAGGAGCCCCATCATAAACCAAAGCTGAACTCTGTCACCTAGAGGCACATCTTCAATAAATACTGGAATTTAGGTGAAAGAAATTTTGAAAATTTTCAAGAATTCCAATGCACACATTCCGAGAAAACTGTTGTTGATGACTAACTTCGGTTAAGGCAAATCGAAATTCTTCTTATTACGAATTATGATCATACAGGTCAACATTTAGTTTGGAAAGAACCATCGGACTCTACCTAAGTACCCAGGGGTTTTTGGAGTCGCTAGTTCCGATGCCGAGGTCGGTTACACTCACGTCAGGTTCAAGGTTATTTGAAGGTCAAACTAAGAAAAAGTGGCTGACAAAATTCATACATAGGTTTTTTGGGTCACTGAGTCTGAACCGATGTCGGTTGGCTTTTATCACCTCATGTCCAAGGTCGTTTGAAGGTTACAGTAAGGACAAGATGTGAAAAAAATTGGAAAAATGAATGTTCACCTGCCTACTTTTGTCTGTATAAATGCTTGCTTTTTTACCTGTACACCTGTTTGTTAGTCTGTATTTATCATTCGCCTGTATTTTCTCTCTGTCCATCTACCTGACATCCTACCTTTCTACCTGCCTTCCTGTTGGTAATTTTGTCTACTTTCCTGTCTGACTAAATGAGTAAATATCTGGGAGCTTTTAGTGAAAAACAAGGAGAAAGAATGCACCAGGACCTGAATGAGTTTGAACAAAGATATCAAGGTGTTTGGGGGAAGAATATGTTAGCAGACT